AATTCCAGTTTTAAAGTGGTAGACTAGTCCCACTCCCTAGTTAGAACTGAAACTTGTGCATTTCATCAAAAAGACAATAATGCGTAAAAATGTGAGCACTAACCATGTGAACATGTGCAAGGCTGAAACTCGTAAGCGAAAGAAAGTTTTCAACAGTTACCAGGTTTATAATTGCAATGAGTTAATCCAATAAAAGGGATTTAGAAAAAAGTACAATACTGGTAAATTATCTATATTACAAAAGAGTGTGAATGTAGAGAAAGGGGGTGAGGATGGAATGTGAATATTAGTGAATCTAGGTGTGCCTAAAGAATTGATCCACTCTTACTCTCACGCTCACACCCGCACCCACAGTTTACCACAAATCATCCTATACCCGCACTCACCCACACTCCATATTCAAAACCACTCTATACCCCACAGCCACAGCCACAACCAAATCCACACCCGCCACACACCATACAGCTACATTCACATTCACCACACGCTATACACTCACATCCACACACAGAAAAAAAAGGTAACTCTTGAAGTCAATCGTCGAATTTTCAGAGCATCTATTGTTTTTGCTCTTTTCATACCTTGTTTTAAGCTTTGTCGATTAAACGCATTTTTCCTCTAGCTGCACAAATATCTGCCAAAAAAAGTCAAACAATAAAGATAATAATATTTTATTGCCATGTTTCTTTCGTAAGCAATAAATTTTATTGTTGCTCTCTTCAAGCTCGCCTCTTCAACAAATGTCAGTAAAATGATGAAGTAATCTATACAACGAGACGACTTCTACTGCATTTTCAGCGACTTTTGACTGTTTTAACATTTCAATCCAACTACTAAGCGCAATCAAGTCTAAAACGCAACAACAGGTAAGGAATCAATCAGAAAAGAGGAAATCCAGAATCTATGTATCAGGGGCATCTGGATGTATGTAGGCATAGGAGCGACGGCTTCAGTGTTGATGACAGTGAAAGGAACACTCGTAATCGCAACTCGGCACCGATCCCACAGTCACACTCAGACATCCAAAAGCACAACCATGGGTGTGGATGCTAGTTTTAACTCATCATACACTAGTACCCAGATCCTCATAGCTACAGCCACACTCAATGAGAACGAGACTAGCTATCTCTTTTTCAATCACTCATCCAAATCTACAAAGTTGTCAAAAACTCCTCATAGTTTTTGAATAGATAGACGAATACCAGTTGATTCTTCTATAGGAGCCAAACTTTATTTTAACATGGTTTTTAAATATTTAAAAGAACGAAAAATTGCGTTCAAATTGAAATATACTCTATGTTTAAGTTTCAATCCTGCTTTCCATGGTATACTTGTAACGAGAATTTTTGTTTTTATTGTTCTATTTCAGAGTAACAGTACTTGAATCAATGCTAGTAATTTATCAGAAATATGAAGCCAATATGCTACGTATTCAGATATACATATCTATTACAATATCTTCATATTCTGTATACCTTCATTTATCTATAGTAAGAGATGTATCTATGAGAATTTTAGACAGGCATCAATAACTATCGATCACAGTTTTCGAACATTTGTGGAGTTCATTTGCGTACCCTTCAGCGAATCATAACTAACACAGTGTGATTTAGGGACTTTAACGTACATCGATACTCACAATAAAATGATTTTAGTTCTACAACAGCACAGTCAGTTTCAATCGAATTCGAATCATATATACCCAGTGTATGGAATTACGAAAGCGGAAATTTTCGACTGATAAAGTTTTTACCTTCATAGGTAATCCAGTTCGTAGTGGAACAGAATCACTTACATCATTACTCTGCTGTGCGTAGTCGAATAGCGACACGGATTTGTAAGCATCATATATGATTCATACGATTGGAAATGCAGTGAACGAAGAGAATGAGGAAAAAGATGACCTTCGTGGGACTCAAGCCCACATCTCCTGCTATCCGGGCAAATGTCCGAAGCTAATTAAACCAGAAAGCGTCTCTTAGTCTTGGTTTAGCATCGCAGTGTATCATCATTGACGCTAACAGATTTTTGTTGCTGATCTAGATTTATTGGGTGGAATGTGAGTGTGAGTAAGAGTTAAGCGAAGAGCCATATCGATGCTGCTTCGTTCAAGAAAGAACATAAGAGAGATAAAAAATAAAAAGTGAATGATATATTTGTTTACTTTAAATGGCTTGAGAGAGAAAAACTACACTACTGTAGTGAATATATTGACTCCTGAGTCAGTTTTGTGGAACTCACATATTTTTCGAAGAAAATGATGAGTGTAAGTTTAACAGCGAGTTTTTGTGGCTCCCACTCCTGCTATACCCCTCTCCATTACAGACCATAGCAATGAAGAATAACAGGCGTCACATTTTTTAGATTTTGTTGCAAAATTGATCAAGTTATAATTTTGAATAATAATAAATATTACTATTTGTGAGTTGATTAACATAAACAATAGTGCTTGAGACCTGCTGTAGATATCATGAATATGTAAAACAGGCATATTTGTCAATTAATTCAATGATTATAATAATAAGCATGTTAAATTAAGAAGAAAAGAATTTTAAAAAAATGAAAATTGTTTTCGAAATGCAGAAATTAGAGAAGTCATTACTCTGAATATCAATTATCCTGCAAGCACCTATAATCTACGAGAGATTTATCACTTTATGTGTTATGTATTAGTTTAATTAAGCTCGATAGTATATATGAGTTCTATATTTCAGCCTCAAAGGAGCTGCGCTAACAAGCTTTTTCATGAAATAAAAGTAACAAAAATGGTTTTGATGGAGCTAGGGGAATCTTGACACTCATCTTATTACAGGCATGTTGTCATTTTCAGGCGTTAACACAGGACTTTTTGTCACTTTCAATCGCTTGGTTTCAAATTTCAGACATTTTGAAACTCGGGAACGCGATAGAAACACTTTGATTAGACTATAGATAATGCTATAAGAATATTTAGCTGGGCAAAGCGAGTACGGAGAATGTTGATGATATCATGTGGATATAAAGCATATTTTTGACATGCTTAAAATATGCAATTTCCATAGGCATTACCGAATATGGGAATCTACATTTTCAACTCTTGAATAATAATGGTTCGTTTCATTCTACTCCTTAATGTGCTGCCAACGAATTATTTCCCATATCTAGTACTTCTATTATCCTATCTTCAGTGCAACTCATCCTTTCAGTAGAGGGTTAGCAGCGTTTCCGCTGCGTTATTTGTGTTTAAATTTTCATTATTAATCTTTTCTGATAATGACAAGATGTGAAAAATAAATGATTCGTAAAGTTTCAATAATTAATAAATATAGAAATTTCTTGAGCTATTAATGACAAAATATTTCCATTTAAAATTCTCAGATAAATAATTACATATTCAAAGTTGAATTTCTATATAGATATTTGATATCTCTTAAAACAACTAGATCGAATGTATGACAAGCAGAGACGAAGTGAGAGAGACTTTTAAGAACAAAGGAGCCTTATGTCATGTGTACGTCTTATCATTATGATATGAAGGTATAATAAATGATTATAAGTATTAATGAAATTTAAATTTAATTTTTTATGTCTAAATAGTACATTGGATGATATATGAAACAAAATAGGTCTTACAGAAAAACTAGGGTGTCGATGTGGGCGCGTGTATGGGTAGGGGTCGTCTCTTCCTACACCCACCCACACCCAAATGGAAAAAGGATAAAATACACCATGTCAAACAGACCAAAATAGTCGATTTCACCTCTCATATAGGTCTTTTTCGATTCTGGAGCCATGTAGTAACGTATAAAAAGTATAAGATATTGTAGAGTAGCCTCCACTCTATCATTTGGTATAATTTGATAACGCTTTTGACCGATTTTTTGTTATCAAAAAGCTCATAAACAAAAATGATCTAAAAATCATAGTTTTCGATATATTAGTTTTTTGGGACAAAACAAGTGGATCATCGAAGTATTGGAAGACTTTGTACAAAAATCGTAAAAATTTGGGTTTCTAAGTAACTTTTTATGCTCTTTCAAACTAGCAAACTGATTTCAAAAACTAAATTTTTTCGGCAACCAATCTCTAATATTTTGGGCGGTGGTTTCATGGACTCTCTCTTAATCAAGAAATTATAACGGTAATGTAGACAATAGGATGAATTTTTATAATCATTTGTTTTAGCACTATTACGTTCAAAATAAAACTATAACATTTACATTATTTAAAGAAAAGTTGCTCATTAATGACAAGTCACATCGCTTCATCTCTTTCATCTTCTCTTCTCTTTGACATTGTCTCCATCTTTTTCAGCAACGCAAGTAACCTATTCCATTGCAGAAAAGGCAGAGGTAAGGGTGAGGATAGGTCGGATCGGGGCTGAACCCATTGATGAACAGCTTCTCGGAGCCTTATAAGCGAATTGTGAATATGACTCATTCCAATTTACTAATCAATTGCCTAATTATCCATGCACCATTGAATAAAAACTCAATCAAGAGATTATTTACCATTGCTCGTCATTTTCAACCGATACTGTTCGATTAAGCTGATTTATAGTGACCAGATGATCTTTACAACTTCCTATACAACCGTTTGAACCATAGTTACCATGGTCGCTTGTGCCATAGTTGTTATATGGTCACTTTTATCATAGTTGGCATGGTCACACTTTGACCGCATTATCGACAGACGAAAAGATAGACAGACACAGGTGAATTTCGGTTTCTAGGCCCTATCCCAGAGGTGCCATCTCTGGGATACAACATGTTGACATATGGCGCTACGGTCAACGTGTTGTACCTTGTTCTATCCTTTTAATCTAGAGAATATTTGATGAATTTTTTTTGCAATATATCATTTATCATGCTCACCATCATTTTCTGTGCTTTATCAGAATTTAGTCTCACTTCCAAAGAAGTAAAAACATATTTATTTTATTTTGATACCTTTTGTCATATTAATATGCATAGTAATGGTTACTTTCTGTCTCATCTCTTATTTATCTTATAGATATGAAAATGTTGGTTCCTTCTATTGTTGCTTTAGTTGTATTAGCGACTATTAATTTAAATGTTTATGCTTATAAATCCTATTCAAAATATCAATTATGGCGTTTACATCCTACAAATAATGAACAAGTCGCTAAATTACTTGAGTTTAGTCATCAAGCATATGAACACAACATCAATTTTTGGTCAGACAAATTTCGAACAAATATTCCGGTAAATTTTTAATTTAATAATTAAAATAATAAAATATTTTGATTAGATTGATGTTAGTATAGCACCTGAATCTGTTAATAGCTTTCGTGAATATTTATCATCAGATAATATGAAAATAAAATATGATGTTATTATGAAAGATATTGGTTCTGTTATTGAAGAACAACAATTAGTTCATAAATTTTCACCATCATATGGAAAGGCTAATGAATTTGCGTATGATAAATATCATCCCCTTGATGAAATTCATTCATGGATTGATTCAATGGTTGAAACATATCCATCATTAGCAACATCATTTGTAATTGGACAATCATATGAAAATCGTCCGTTGAAAGGTTTGAAAATATCGTCGAATAAAACAGCAGTTAACCTTGATAATACTCCAGTAAATTAAAAAAAGGCTGTTTGGTGGGATGGAGGTAACATTATGATGTTTTTTTGCTAGAAGACTTTTTAAAAATATGTTTGTTTTAGGTATTCATGCTCGAGAATGGATCAGTCCAGCAACGAATATTTATATTGCCCATGCACTTTTATCAAACTATGGCAAAGATTCAACAATTACTCATTTGGTAGATCAATTTGATTATTATATTTTACCAGTATTCAATGTAGATGGTTATGTATATACATGGACAAATGGTAATGTACAGAATGACAAAGATTTTTTTTTAATTAAAAATTTTATTTTTAGATCGATTATGGCGTAAAACTCGAAGTAAAACATCTGATACTCGTTGCTTTGGTACTGATCCAAATCGTAATTGGGATTATCATTGGTGTGAAAGTAAATTTCTATCTATTCCTTACTGTATTAATATTCATATGATGTTTCTAGATGGTTCTTCACCTGATCCATGTAGTGATTCTTATTGTGGAAGTAAACCATTTTCAGAAGTTGAAACAGCACAAGTAGCACAATTTCTTAGTAATCATAATGATACAATTGTACATTATATTAATTTTCATGCATTTTCACAATATTGGATGGTACCATGGGGTAAATATTAATATTAAAAATATTTGTTTCATATTTTATTATTTGTCTTAATAGCTTATACAACAACAAGACCAGCAGAATTTAAATTACTAGATGATGGATCAGCTGAAGCTGTTCAAGCAATTATGGCTGTTGAGAGTGAGTATAATACAAAGATTTTCACAGAAAATAAGTTTTATTTCAGATACGAAATATACTCATGATAGTGTTGCCCAAATTATTTATGTTGCATCTGGTAGTACAGTTGATTGGACATATGGTACAGCTAATATAATATTTAGTTATGGTGTAGAACTTCGAGATACTGGTAACATGAAATATTTTTAGAAGACAAAGTTTTCTTGAACTATTTATTTTTAGGTGATTATGGGTTTTTATTACCGGAAAATCAAATTATTCCAACTGGTAAAGAAACATTAGCTGGTGAATTAGCTTTATTGAAATATATTGAAAGACATGTGTTAGGTGGTAGCTCACACATTTCTATCCACTGTGCTTTTGTATATGTGTTTCTCCCATTTTCTCTCCTTTATATTTTCTTTTCGTTCTCCTATTAACTCATATATGTTTGGAGTTTTTTGCTTTTCTATGTATCACATATACTTGGATGTTTCTTTTCGTACATATAACATGTTTCATCTTTTTCTTTGACAAGTGCTGATCTTTCGATATGTATTATATCTGAGAGGATTTTTCCCAATCGTT